CTCCCTGCCCCTGGCCCGGGGCCGCCCTTGCCGCGTTGTGAGTCCGCTGGTGTTCTGGTGTTGGCACGGGGCCGTACACGTGGCCTGCTTCTGCTGTAAGCCTTAACGGCGCGAAATCTCTCGTCTGGAGACTGCTGGGTGAGTGTGGGGCTTGGGCAACGATGTCTTCATAACCGGAGGGCTTGGAGTGCTGACGGGAGTCCTGCAGACTTGACGCGTGTTGTTTCTAATGCGAGGCGAGCTGCCGTGGTCCTGGGAAGATGGATTAGGTTGTGCCTGCTTAAGATTCAGGTCAGTTCCATGCAAATTTGTCATTCAGCATCCGAACACTGGGTCTTTTAAGAGTTTGCCTGACCCACATAGGGCTAGCTTTAAACCCTCTGTAGCTAGATGGCAAAGTTCTGCACTTATTTCAAGCCGCTTAATCTTGTCCGCTGTCTCTGCTGCTTCTCATTGAAGGACCTGCTTCCTGACTAGCAGCTCATCTCTTCGCCGTTCCTGGGTAGGACAAGCTTTGCTGGTGTACAGTGCCTACTGGGATCATAATTCCTGGCTGGAAGGCAGGATGGAGTGCTGTTAGGCAAATGGGGTTGTAGAAACAGTTTGGTGGGGCGGGAGGGTAGCTAAAGGTGATGTTGTCAAGCAGGTCAGCTGTTCTGTTGTGATAAACATTTGGTGACCATCTGGCTGACAACAGGGTGTTCTTGTTCTGCTTTTGCTGCAGTATTGTAAGCACTTGTCACATTTCGTGGTGGACTTGGTAGCGTTAGGTTAACGGTTGGACTGGATGATCTAAAAGGTCTCTTCCAACCTAAACGATTCTATGATTCTATATGTGCGTACTGAAGTTCAAATGGGGGGTGTGTGTGTACACCTACTTGTATATCCAAATACTCTTTTGTTGTTCGGCTATCATGGCAAATACCAGAGCGCTCTGGCTTGCCTCTGTCTAGACTTTGTTTAGAAATTATTAATACTGCAATGAAAATCGCTAATTAATATATTGCTACCCTAAGTTTCAACTTGTCACAACATTGTCGTTAGTTTCTGCAAATGGTCTGTTCTGCGTAGCCTAGATTCTAACATGGTAAAACTGCCTATTAATTTTTATCATCTTTTCTTACAGTAAAAAATGGCATTTCAGAAGGCAGTGAAAGGAAACGCTCTCATTGGAGGAGGACCGCTCTCATTGGAGGAGGTGCCATAGCAACAGTTTTTGGCCTCTCTCAATTTTCTCAGTATAGAAACAAACACGTAAGTATTAATTATGATTTCTGATAAAATATGAAACTTAAAATCTGTTTGAGCGTATGTTAGGCTTATACGAATAGCTTTGTTTGGAAAGGAATGCCAAGAGCCTCTCGGCTTGATTTGGTAGGTGCTAATCTGGAGGATGGCATTAAACGATGTTTCACTGCTGTAGGTCTTTAACCAGTGGGGAAGTGAGATTCTTGTAAACCACTTCTCATGTTTAAAAAAAATGACCTTTGTGTATCACTAGGGATTTTACTCAGTTGCAGGAGGGGTGGAAAGTACCGATTGAAGCAGAAGCACTAAGTAGAGTTTGGACAGTATCTTCAAACTTAAAAGCCTGAAGTGAAACCACTAGCACTACCACTGAAAAATCTCGGCTTCAAAACAGTCATGGTGGCAGCTCTCGCTCAGTTCAAAAAGCTGAAAACTGGTTTAGGATGGGCTATGTGCCAAAGAAGTCAGTGGCAAGGCCCCTGTTGTTTCTGGTGGGCATTGGCCGCTATCTGGGTGGGCACAGCCTGGACCCCGGTAGGCTCAAGGCACAGTTCAGTGCTGTCTTCCAGGTAACCAAGGCACACAGGCAGAATAAATTCCCTGAGCAGTGAAGGGTGATATTGGAGACTTGCTCTTAAAGTAAAGTAGTGGTAGCAGAAGGAGGTGCGGTAGATTCCCGTGTCACTTTGTGGATTGACTCTTGCTGTTGTAGGACACAGATTTCATTGGCATAGCTGCTCCTCGCAGTAGAGTCGGAGTCACTGTGCTCTTTGACTTGCTTCTTGATGCAGAAGCCAAGGAAAAATCAGTAAAAGGAACATGCGTGGTGGGCTGGTTTTAGGCAGAGCTGGTGTGGATCAACAACTCCTCTTTGTCTTAAAGCAAATAAATGCCCATAATTTTAATGCAGTTGTGCTGTGCTTTAGAGTTATATTGTAACCATGACTGGGCTTAGTAGATCTGAATAAGGGAACATGTCTTTTGATCTTCCGTTAAATATGGGCTGTGAGGCCAAAAATATTTGCAGTCAGTGTTCCAGAAACTGGTTGAAGTAGGTGTAGTCAGAGCTTTGGCCTGATTTGCTTTGCTTGCGTTTGGAAAAAGCTTAAGCCCAAGGAGCTACCTCATCCTCCCTTTGAGATGGTGTCAGTCTGAGCAGCCAGGTGGGCAGGTGCTCACAGAATCATGGAATCGTTTAGGTTGGAAAAGACCCTGAAGATTGCTGAGTCCAACCATTAACCCAGCACTGCCAAGTCCACCACTAAACCATGTCCCTAAGCACCACATCTACACATCTTTTAAACCCCTCCAGGCCACCTCTCTGGGCAGCCTGTTCCAATGCTTGACTACTCTTTCCGTGAAGAAATTCTTCCTAATATCCAACCTAAGCCTCCCCTGGTGCAGCTTGAGCCCATTTCCTCTGGTCCTATCGCTGGTTCCTTGGGAGCAGAGCCCAACACCCCCTCCCTGCCCCCTCCTGCCAGGAGCTGCAGAGCGATCAGGTCTCCCCTCAGCCTCCTCTTCTCCAGGCTGAACACCCCCAGCTCCCTCAGCCGCTCCCCACCAGCCCTGTGCTCCACACCCTGCCCCAGCTCCGCTGCCCTTCTCTGGACACGCTCCAGCACCCCAATGTCCTTCTTGTGCCGAGGGGCCCAAAACTGGACACAGCATTCCAGGTGCGGCCTCACCAGCGCCGAGTACAGGGGGACGATCCCTGCCCTGCTCCTGCTGGCCACGCTATTCCTGATACAAAATTTTGCATTGCACCTTAGAAATGTAGTCAGCTTTTTATCCAGGCAAGTTGTTACTCTGAACTGCTTTAGTTGCCACACATGTAGTATAAGTTGCCACTCAAATTGGGCAAACTGAAGATAGGAACGGAAGAAGTGGATCTTAATGGCCTAGCTGAAGGTAAAACAGTGGGTGATGGGAGACAGTCTTCACTTAGCTCCATGAAGATGCGTATTATGTAAATGATAATCTGAATCTTCTGGCTGTTTCTATGGGGAGGAGGAGTAGCAGCTGAGGTATTGGTAAAGCAAATGAGATGAGTCACTTCTGGGGAACCTAGCTGGAAAGTGGATAAGCCAGGATCCTTATGGCTTCTGAAAAAATGTTGCAGAAAATAAAACCTAGCATTTAAAGTGAGCTTCCCATTGGGCTGCCTGTCTTGCACCTAGCTGATAATACTGTTTTTAACTCTCTCTGGAGTCTTTATCACAGGATTTTACAATCTGGCTTCATTACTGTTGGAAATGGCAGCTTAAAATTTTAGGACTCTTAAATAAGAGGAATTGGGAGTGAAGTGTGAGCTGGAGAGCTCACTTGTATATGCAGTATTCCAGAATTCAGGGAATTCCCATTTTTGGGGGCAATGGGTGGCCATTGGATGGCCATTATGAATTTCCAGAGACAGATTAAAAACCAGAGTTTTACAGAAGCTGATCATGGTGTCAGAATGAAATAACCACTTGTCCTCCCCAGTTTCTAAACCTGTTGTGTAGGCTCAGTTTACAAAGGATCTGAAAATTTCCAGCATATGTGTAAGCAAATGGATCTGTCAAGTGAACAGCGTGTTGTTTTCATGTTGTACTAACTTGCGCATTTCCCACGTGATGTCCCTTAAAGCTGCTGCCTTAAACACCTAATATAGGGCAGCAGGTGGAACATAACTGGAGGGATTGACACAAAGGAGGACAGTCCATTTGTTGTGTTGACATATCTAAGCTGTGGGCATGTCCCCTAGCCCGAGTGTCCTCTTTTTAATAAAGCCTGCCAATCAAATATATGCTAGGGCAAAGATCTTGTCTTCCTTTGCCAGGGAAGGATAATGCCCCAAGATGTGCACTAATTGGCTACACATTGTAGGAAATCTGTTGTTATTTCAAGAACAGAATCCATCACATAACAAGACACAAATAAAATGCTCGGGTTTTTTTTACCCACGTTTGTATTGCCTCAGTGACTGGATGTCTGTGCTGTGGCTGGCGTCCTGGACACCCAGTTACAGAATAAAGACCTTGGCTGGCTGGTAATCCTGAACACACAGTCTAGTTGATCTGTCTTTCCTTGTTTTCCGTGTTCACTCAGCTGGTGTTGGAAGCTTCTGTGAAACTTGGCTGTCCCAGGCAATTCCAAGGGAGAAGCTGAAGGGTGGTGAACTGGCGCTTGAGCACGGGTGGGAGGTCGTTTGGACTTGGTGATCTGAAAGGTCCTTTCCAACCTAGATGGTTCTGTGATTTGTTAGTCAAGCATGGTAGTGAGTGGTTTGCCTGCTGAAAGGGATGAGTATTGGCAAGTTCCGAGGTTGAAATTTAAATTGGCCTTGCTAGGTTTGAGGGTCAAAGCCTGACTGTGAGGAGAATGGCACAGTTAGCAGGGTTAACCTTGGCTGTCTGTAAACAGCTGTAAAGTGTTTACACCTTGGAAACAAAACACTCCATTCATTCAGATCTGTCCTGGTTTTCAAGATTTTTATCCCAACTTATTTTTCTATACACACACGCATGTGCTGACATCTTGGAGCGTGCTTCTGCAACAGGAATTGAGACGATATAACCTGAGAATCTGTATCTGTGTGTGGCGTATGCAGGCACACAAGCAGTTTAGTAAACTGCCCTTGCTGTGCGTTGGGTTT